ACACGTACACACGTGCACACACATGCACACACAAGTGGGCTTACAATCACATGCATAATATAAATGAGCAGCAATATAAACAATAATAATCGTAAGCTAGATACACATTCAATGTTATTTTGATGCATGCTCTAAGATCGTAAGTATACTTATATTGGTGACGGGGAAAGACCAGGGAAATGTACGGTAACTATTTTGAAAGCATCCGAGCGAAGTAATGGATGGAGATCTATGATCACCGATTTTAACCATAAATCTGGTAGTTGATGACGATGATGATATTTTCAATTTAAGCTTAAAAAATTAAAATATTTAGGCTGCTGCAATGATTTTAAGCTCAACTTTTGAGAATTACCCATAGGCCTATATATAGCTACTTAAAATTTGGGCTAAATATAACTCAGTTCTCGATGCCCCACATTCTATTTGGCTAAGAATGATAGTTGTCTTCTGCCCAACATTCGAACCTTTTCAAGATGACTGTCCATTGTCAAATATAAAAGTGGTCCTCTTAGACAGGTGGACTTTTTGGACATTGTTATGCTAATTTACTAAGTTTTAGAATGGTTTTACAGCGCTCGCAACTGCATAAGGTTATATGAGCCCGAACATTATAATTTAGAAAAGATAAACACATTGAGGGAAGTGGGAAGTGGTCATTTGTGAAAGTGATTGTCTTGGACAGGTGGTTGCTCTAGCAATTTCGACTGTGTGAATAAGATATTTTTCTATGTATTATAATGCCTTCATTGTCTCATTGTGTTATTTTTCTTGTTGTATTTCCAAAGTGACTGGCATTTGCTGGTATTTCTACCTGGAGGAGAAAGATCAGAACAGAGAATTCACGGTCTACCTGGTGTGGAGACTGACCTTCCAGAAAGAGGACGTTTTCTTAGCTGGAGGTAATAAAGTAGAATATACAATTATTTTAGATTATATTTTCTTCCCTTATTTTGGCTAGAAAGTTAATTGAATTCCCAAATGTAGCGTGGTTAGGCTACGAGAGTTGTAATTGTGGGATTTACAGGTTCGGGGGTTTGAGTTTCAGTTTGGTCCAACGTTATGTCCTTTGGACAGGTATTAAAATTTTACTTGGATCTCCACTTAAGCTTGTTCCTTTTGGAGATGAACATTAAACTTGAAGGTCCCTCTTCTTAAATAACCTAATAGTTTTGATAGGCGTGTGAAACCTCTACCATTTCACGTTTTCAGTACCAGATGTCCGAGAAACTGGCTGCTATGTTCAATTGTTATCCCCCCCCCTCCCCCAAATTCCCCCTAGAAAAAAAACAACCAATTGCTAGTTCAGAGTTTTTCAGTCTGAGAATGGCAGTCTGGACAATGCTAGCGAAACTTGTATCACTTCAGTCATATTATATGAAAACCAAGCAGTAAATATGTGTTAAGGACAGTCAAGATACAGGTTTCTATTTTTGTTTTGTTTTGTATTATGCCTGATTTGAGTCTTTTTTTTTTTCTCACCAGGGCTTATCTTTGGTGTTATTTTCATCATCGTTTTTCTGCTGCTACTGTTTCTGTGTCAACGAATCAGGATTGCTATTGCACTTATTCAACAGGCGAGCAAGTAAGTAGTCTATACTTCCCTTCCTCTGTCTGTCTGTCTGTCTGTCTGTCTGTCTGTCTGTCTGTCTGTCTGTCTGTCTG